CCGGATAAAAACTATTTTTGATCTGGTTCTTTCTCTCTCTTCCTCTCTCTGCCATATCCCCTCTCTTTCCTCTCTCTCTACTTTCTCGTCTCTCATTCTCTATCTTCCCCCCCCTCTCTCACCCCCCTCACTCTTTCTCTCCTTTCTTCTCTCTCCCTCACTACTTTATTTGCCTGATCCTGTCACCTGGCCTGACCTGCCTTCACTTCCGTTCGCCCGTATTTTCCTTCCCTGTGTTGCTTCTCTCTCCCACTCATACTCCTTCCTCGCCCCTTCCTCTTCAGATAAGGTGAAGTCCAGGAGGATTTCGAAACTGTTTCCTTATTTTCAGTAAATCATGTTCATGCATTGTGAGGTTTTCTATCATTGTATCACTATAGTAGATTGTTTTACTAATCATGCTGATACTTCTGCCTCAGCTGCTATTATTACTAATAGTAACGATAATGATGGTAATAATAGAAATGATGAAAAATAATGATAATGATAGCAATAATAATGATAATAGTAATCATGATATGATGATAATGCTAATAATAACAATAATGACGATAAAAAAAACAATAACTTTAATAACCAGAAACACTCAGAAAGCGCATAGCTCCGCCAAAACAATAAGGTCACTGGGACAATAAATATATTTACACTTATAGAATTACATTAGAATCACCTTTCTCAAGTACACAGGTGACGTCCGCAAACACAACTCAAAAATAACAATAACAACATTGATTGATTAAACCAATAGCAAAAATAGATATAAAAATAATGATTGCGATGATGCGATGTATAACAATTATATAGATAATGATGATAATTATCATTATTATGATAATGATGATGGGGAAATAGTCCTGTTACTACTACTAAATATAATGATACGGATGATTAGGGTAAAAATAATTATTATCATTCCTATTTCTAATAGTAGTTTGTCATTATCATTACCATCAATATCTTTATTGGGATGATGGTGACGCAACAGCAACAATAATGTTTATAACAATAGTGATAAGTAACAGTAGTAATAATGAAAATGATGATAAGAACAATCGTATAAACGATAATAATAAGGATAGTGATAACACTACTACTACTAATAATAATGATAATGTTAATAGTAATAATAGCAAACAATGATAATAATAATAATAACAATAATGATAATATAAAAAAAAACAATGGTACTGACAGTAATAATAACAATAATGATAACATTAAGTATAATATTGATGACATTATAACAATAGTAATAATTGATAACAATAATAACTAGACGCATTCAGAGTGAGCAAGCCGAAAAAATCTGTTCATAACTTTTTGAGTTATCCTCCTAACTAACAAACAAACTAACCAACGCTACCAAAAATATAACCTTGGCGGAGGTAATGATAATACCAATGGTTAAATATAGAGATGATTATGATAAGGATAACAGTAATAAAAATTTTAACAATAAGTCTACAGATAATATTAATAGTGACTGAAATGATGATAACAATGCTAATGAAAATAGTAATGATAATAAAGATAACAATGATAATAATGCTTATGAAAAACATTCTGATAATAATCATAATGATGATAACCATAAATATGATAATAATAACTATGATGATAGTAAAAGTAATAATGATGATAATGGCAGCTATGGTAATGATAATTATTATGAGATTCATAATAATAATAATTCTGAGATAACAATATAATTTTTATACTTTTGTTACTAACATTATCACAACTATTTGTTGCTATTATATTACAATAATTGTTATTATCATTGATATCATTATCATTATTATTTTCATTAATAGATTATCATAATTATTGTCTATTTTTTATATCTATAGTTATATTTTTGTATATGTATGATTATATATTAATACTCACACGCACCCACACAGGCACACAAACACACAAGCACGCACACAACACACAGAAACACACACACACATACATATATATGTATGTATGTATAAATATATATGTGTGTGTGTGTCTGTAAGCTTGTTTATGTTTGCATATGTGTTTTGTGCTTGTGTCTGTTGCATAAATACATATGCATAAACAAACATGCATTTATGTTTACACATGTGTATGCATATATAAAAATTTATGTGTACATATGTATATATACTTATTTATACGTATATATAATAATGAATATATATCGATATATATTTATATTTGTATATATTAATAATGATGATAGTAATAGTGGGTGTATTTTAAACACACACATATATATGTGTGAGTGTACATTTATATAAATATATGTATATATATGTATGTGCATTTATATATGTATATGTATATATGCATACACATTTGATTATATATATATATATATATATATAATATATATATATATATATATATATATATATGTGTGTGTGTGTGTGTGTGTGTGTGTGTGTGTGTGTGTGTGTGTGTGTGTGTGTGTGTCTGTCTGTCTGTGTGTATGTGTGCATATATACATATGATATATATATATATATATATATATATATATATATATATATATATATATATATATATATTATAATATATATATATATATATATATATATATATATATATATATATATATATATATATATATATATATATATATATATATATATATATATATATACACACCCACACATATATATGTACATAAATATGTGTATGCTTGTTTGCGTGAATAGTGTTGAATATATTTTGTATACATACGTACACCGTTTACATGTGTATGTGTGTGTGTGTAAATACGCATATATATATGTATATAAGAGAGGTAGAGAGAGAGAAAAAAAAATTAAACGTAATCTCCCATCTTTTATTTCTTTTTATATCTCTCAGTCTGGTTTTTTGAAACAGACAAGTTAAAACATACTTCCTCGCTTTTGTGCTGAAAACAAAACAAAAATTGATCAAAGCTGTGAGACTTGTAGTGCCCTGAACATCCGTCACAGTCCTCCCTCTCAGGGGTTCGGACGAGACCTTCCTTCGGGGCTTTCCCTTGGCAGGCGTAACCCCGAGGGGATGCCATTCCCATCTGGGTCCACACCCGGGAGTTATTTGTACCTGCCTTTAGGAGTGTTGCTCTGCCAGGGTATCATTCTGGGAGGATGTCAACACTGCCAATCGTTTGATGCAAAGTTTGAAATACCTATGAAGGTATCAAAATAGAAGAATACATATATATGATGCAGTCTTTATTTTAGGGGGGTCAACGAAAATCAAGATGTTGCATCTGTTGAGTACATTGTATATAGGTTTGCTGTGTTGCCTCATCAGGGTATCATTCGAAGAGAATATCAAGTCAAAAGACAGGGCTCCATATTCGCAGTCAATGCTTCCTTAGACACTTATGAATCAGAACACTTCTCTAATAGTTTCTCTTCGGTTAGGCTTCCAACCACGTTCATAAGGCAGGAGTTCATAAGAGACTTCTTGAGCTCCATGAAATGTAATAGCTGAAAGGCAGAAGCTCGGATGAGAGAGAGAAAAAAAAACTGAAGAGAAATATAAATATCAAGTGAATTCACAGGAGTACCGACTAAAGAAATACACTCAATACTCACGTCAGCTTCTAGGGGTTCCTCAGACAAGTTGGAAAGGGCTGTAGATAAGACCTCTTTTGCTACTGAATCCTCTGCTGAATCAATCTTTGTCCGCATATTTATATACATATGCATATATGTATGCATATACATATATATAAATATATGTACATATATACATGTATAAATGTATATGTAAATGTGTGTGTGTGTGTGTGTGTGTGTACGTGTGCATGCATATATACATATGCACACACACATATGTATATAAACACATTTATGTATATAAACAAGTGTGTGTGCGTGTGTGTGTACACATATTGCTATGTATAATATACATACACCCTTATATATCTGTAAATGTATACATATAGATTATAAATATATATGCATGTAAATATATATACAACAGAGGGAGAGAGAAAAAAAAATCGTTTTAAATGTTCTCTTTTCTTTTATTTCTTTTACCTTATCTCTCACACGATTTGGATTTTTTAACATACTTCCTCGTGTTTGTGCTATTTGTTAAAAAAAAAAATAAATAAAATAAAATAAAACTGTGAAGCACATAAAATGCATGGGTTGAGCGCGTGTGCGTGCACGTGGCTGCGTTGTGCATGTCCAGATGGATCAGTGCATCCGTCACAGTCCTCTCTCTCGAGGGTTCGGACGAGACCTTCCTTCGGGGCTTTCCCTTGGCAGGCGGAACCCCGAGGGGATGCCATCAGGCTCCACAGCCGGGAGTTATTTATATCTGCCTTTAGGAGTGTTGCTCTGCCAGGGCATCATTCTCGGAGGATGTCAAATTTACCAATCGTTTGAGAAGGTATCAGATTACCAATGAAGGTATCATATTAAAAATACACATATATGCTGCAGTCTTTATTTTGGGAGGAAAATGGGTCAAGATGTTGCATCTATTGACTACAATGTTTATAGGTTTGCTGTGTTGCCTTATGAGGGTATCATTCGTAGAGGATATCAAGTCAAAAGCCAGGGATCCATATTCGCAAAGTCAATGCTTCCTTAGACACTTATGAATTTGAACACTTCGCTAATAGTTTCTCTTCGGTTAGGCTTGCAACCACGTTCATAAGGCAGGAGTTCATAAGAGACTTCTTGAGCTCCATGAAATGTAATAGCTGAAAGGCAGAAGAAGCTCGGATGAGAAAAACATGCACCTGAAGAGAAATGTAAATATGAAGTGAATTCACAAGAGTGCCGACTCATGAAATACACTCAATACTCACGTCAGCTTCTAGGGGTTCCTCAGACAAGTTGGAAAGGGCTGTAGATAAGGCCTCTTTTGCTACTGAATCCTCTGCTGCATCAATCTTTGTTCGCAGAAGTTCCATGACCTTAGTTACGTTGACCTCCTCGCCATCCTGAAGAGAAAGACAACAAAGGGGTCCTCTACATCACCAGCATCTGGAAGCTAAGATGGTTAAACTATATACTGAAACTCAATGCGAATATTTAGCACTTGTGAGTACACACGTACCAGGACTCCATGGTCTTCGAGGGCGCACAGCGACACCAATCTTCGGCTTTCGGCCGAGATACCCTTGAGTTCTTCGCGGAAGCACAGCGCGTGCTTTAGGTGGGGCTTCTTGTCGGAAGCCAAGGCAGGGTGTGAAGCTGACCAAGGCCAGAAAAAGGCGATTAGTAACATGTCCGAAGGGAAATCTCATGCAATCATCAATGGCATTGATGTCTGCTTGAGAAAATATACAATAAAGTCCTGAAATGGCTGTCAACATATCCTAATTTGGTCGATTAAAAAAAAAAATAATAATAATAATGATGATAATAATAACTTACTCAAATGGGTGTGACCTCTTTTTCGAGGCACTCTTTCATTTTTTCTTTCATGTTACTCATTTCGTCTTGGGATGGCATCATAATATCCATGCACATCGTTTTAGCTGGAAAGAAGAGGGAGAGTTTGAATTACTCCTAAAGAAAATCCCAAAGGCATACAGTGGTCAATTCTGCTTCCAATATGTATTCATTGCGTCCACCGATCACAGACTCACCTTCATGAAGAGTGTGGTGGAACTCCTGGTCATTGGGATGGCCGTCTTTCATTCCGCTCGCGACTACAGCGAATGCCGCCACCAACACGATCGTCAACGTATTCATGATGGAAGCGTCTGTGGGTTAAAGATGTCGTGACTATAGCCTTTCTAGCGTGAGTGAACATTGTCGCTAATGCAGATCAAGGATTTTACCATCAAGTGTCTTGCACAAAGCAAATATCGACACTAAAATGCATGAACTCAAGTCTATTCCCGACAAACCATCACGCACACTCATGGCTTACCTGCGTCGAGATACGACTTGGCGTAAGCAGCAAGAGGTGTGAGATGCACGTGGATGTGTTTGCAAGCATATATATGCGCGCGTTTGCCGGCGAGGAAGTGCCTGACGTCATGTACTGACGTCACCATCCTATTGTGGCCAAGAGATACATTTTCAGGTACTATAATTTGAATGACCCAATTTAGTCTTCAACTGAACAATTCCGCCATCCGCCCCCGTGCCCCCCTCTCTCCCTTAGCCCCCTCCATGAAGCTATTTAGATCCGCCAGTGGTTTCGGTGAATCATCCTGACTCTTGACTTCAAGCGCGTGTTGAGACATTCGTGGATGTAAAGAAATACGGTGAAATGCTTTTCATGAAATTAACGGCATGGGTAGTACCGCAAACGAAATTAGAAAGACGATAGTTTCGTGGAAATCAACCATATCCTTCACAACGAAACTGAAGCTTCATCGAAGACAGTCCACTTTTTCGTTGCAAATCATGCAACGTCAGCAACCCTACGACGGGCAAGGCCAAGGGCGTCCTGGCCTGACGACGGAATGCACAGGAATTTTCCGGATCAAAAAGAAATTGTTTTCAATCAGGTTCTTTATCTCTCTTCCTCTATCTGCCCTATCCCCTCTCTCTCTCTCTCTCTCTTATCTTTCTCGTCTCTCATTCTCTCCCCCAACCCTCTCTCTTTCTCTCACCCCCACCCCCCCACCTCTTCTCTCACTCTTTCTCTCCTTTCTTCTCTTTCCTCACTACTTTATTTGACTGATCCTGTCACCTGACCTGACCTGCCTTCACTTCCGTTCGCCCGTATTTTCCTTCCCTGTGTTGCTTCTCTCTCCCACTCATACTCCTTCCTCGCCCCTTCCTCTTCAGATAAGGTGAAGTCCAGGGGGATTTCGAAACTGTTTCCTTGTTTTCAGTAAATCATGTTCATGCACTGTGAGGTTTTCTATCATTGTTCAATACAGTAGTTTGTTTTACCAATCATACTAATAATTCTGTTTCAGCTACTATTATTATTAATAATGATGATAATAGAAATTATATGAAGATGATAATAACAATAATGATAATAGCATTTATGATAATGACAATAATAATGCTCATAGTAATAATGACGATACAAAAACAATAATAACAACATTAATAACTAGAAGCACTCAGAGAGCACATAACTCCGCCAAGGCAATAAGGTCACTGATGAAACAAAAATATTCAAACTTAAAGAATTACATTAAAATCACCTTTTAAGTGCACAGGTATCGTCCGTAAGTCCGCAAACAACAAAAATGATAATAACAAATATGATAATGATAGTAATAATAGTAATATACACATTGAGGATAAGGATTATGGTAATAATGATACTGATGTGGGTGATAATGATAACAATAATGACAATAGTGATGAAAATAATCGCAATGACAAAGATAATAACAATAATGAAAATAATAATAATAATAAAGGTAATGATAATAACTATGATGATGATATTGGTAATAGTAATGATGATAATAACAACAATAATAATAATGATAGTAGTCATCACAATAATGATAATTATAATAATGATAATGACAATAAAAATAATGATAACCCTAACAGCTGGAAAAATAACGAAAAACAAGAATTAAAGTAAAAGCAAGTATAAGTGTAGAAATGACGATAGCGATGATGCGATGTATGATAATGATATGGATGATGATAATCATCACGATAAAAATAATTACCATATTTATATTAAAGATTTTTATTACTACTACTAATGATAATAATAACGATAAATATGATATTATAATTATTATTATTATGATCACTATTAATAGTATTATCATCATTATTATTACCACCATTATCTTCATATGATGATGGCACAACAGCAACAATAATACAAATAATGATAATGATAATTATAATAATATCAGTAGTAAAAATGAAAATGTTGATAAGATTAACAGTAATAAAAATGATAATGATAACAGTAATACTACTAAAAATGAGAATATTGAGAGTGATAATAATAACAATGATGATGATAATAGTATTAAGGATAATATTGATAACGTTATAGCTTAAGTAATAATCATAACAATAATAATTAGAAGCACTCAGACACCGCATACTTCCGCCAAGGCTTTAGGGTCACTGATCCAATAAAAATATTCAAACTTGAAGAATTACATTAGAATAACCTCTTTCTGAGGTACACTGGTGACGTTCGTAAACATGACTTAATGATGATAAAAATAGTTACCCCTGTATATCGCGTTAACTGATGCAATCATTTTAAAGAATCGTGGGTCCGGATCATGATCCGGATCACCACCAAAATTGGATGGCATGTAAGTTCGGATAAGACACTCCTCTGGTAAAATTTTCACAGAAATCTGTTCTCAACCTTTTGAGTTATACTGCTAACCATTTAACAAACTAACACGAGCTACCAAAAAGATAACCTCCTTTGCGTGTGTGTAAATTTTTAAATTATATCTTTAATTACTGGCCCTCCACCACTACAACCTTTTGCGGATCACCTGTATTATTGCTAAGATTGAATAATTGGGTTTAAAGGAAACATTATTACTATTCAGATATATCATGAAAATTCACACACAATGCACACAAAATACTAAAATATTTTATGAAAATGGAATGAAAGAAAATGAATGTAAATTTGCAATATAATTCATGTAAAGAAAATTAATATTACGCTTTTGGTACACTTTGTTCATGTGTGACCAATGTTCGTTAACTCAATAGTCATTATTTCCACACTAGATTTCTCACGTAAAGTCCGTGTGCTGATATGTCCTCGCTTTCTTCACTTTGCCTTACTTCTATCTCCTCTTCTCACTCCTCCTTACGCCTCATGCCTCATGCCTCACGCCTTATACCTTAGCTCTCACGCCTCACGGATGCAGACGGGCGCACTTATTGGTGACGCGAATCAGCACTTTTCTACTACACACCGGAAATCCTATTAATTTATAGAAACCCTATTTTAATTCATTTCTTTACTTTCTTTTTGTTCACTTTTAATGTCACTTTTCTACGTTTAATAATAAGTTAACAAGTGTTTATTTTTCCTTACCGAGGATTTGCAAAGCAGTTGTTGATTGCCTCCTCGGGTGGGCATGTCTCGTCTGGGCAGCTGTGCGTGTGAATGTGACGTCACACTAGGGGAATTCCCTGGACATTCACTAATTTCATTTTCATTTTTTAAATTTGATTTTCTTTTTTTCTTTTTTATTTATGTATCACACGTGTTCAGTTTATTTATATTGGTCACATTTTTTTTATTTTCTATTTATGTATTTCTTTTCCATTTTCTTTGGTCACGCAATGGATATTGGTCACTTTTCTTAGGTCATTTGTTTACTCAGAAATAATTACAATGTTTCCATAGAAAAAAAAAATCTATTATGTGTGCACAAAATACGCATAATCCGATCTGCATTCATTTACTCATTCAACATTTTATTTCATTCGAATGCACACTTCCTCATACACGTCACTGCTTCACAGGACTTCGTTCACACTTCGCACACTCACTCACTCTTAGCCAGTTCACTCATGATCCTAACTGCCATTTGACCTTTTTCTGACATTTTATTTCCTTACCCCTTTCATATATAATATATATACATTAGTAATTAGTATATATATAATAATTATATATATATATATATATATATATATATATATATATGCATAATATATATATATATTCATTTATTTATTATATTAAATGTATATTTATATACATTTATATAACATGCATATATATATATATATAAACATATAAACATGTATAAATGTAGATGTCTATATGTGGTGTGTGTGAGTGCATATATACATATGCACACACATATATGCTTAATATTAAACAATATGTGATGAAGTGTAGACACCGATCTGCTGATCTCCGATAAATCGTAGCGATAGCGCGTATGATATATGTAATAATATTGAGAGTGTAATGTGTCCACTATTATGCATCTTTTCGTATTATCTATATATATGCATGCACACAACACACACACAGTATACATATACATTTACTAGCATGTATTATTATTTTATATATCATATATATGTAATATCGATGGCAGTATCATCATATGTACATTCAT